TTTGTGTGTTTTGGTTGAGATGATGTCAAAGATCAACCTTTAAATACAATAAAGCAGTATGCAGAAATAGAGTTTCTAAATTTTTTGTTTGTTATTATACCTGATGAAGTAACCCTTTTTTTGCAGCTTATGTCAATATAACTATATATCATATATCTGAATGATTATATGATAACGGAAACAACATATATTGTGAAAAAAACGTCAGTTACAGAAATGAACATAACTAAGTTAACAACCGTAGCTATTTCTCACAGTTAACGCATTAATTATGTTTCCTAATGCAGTCATATTGAAAAGTGTTACCCATTGTACATTAATCCATTTGCAATTTAATTAGTTTAAAACATTTGGATTTCTTTTTTGCAGCTTATATTAATAGAAAACCATATAGTGAAGTATATGGTCACAAACCTAACTGACTAACATAAACAACTGCATACTTCCAGTAGTAGATTGTGTACATTCCAAGCAATGGAAATGTACACAAACAGACATCGACACGTACACAAGCGGTCTTTATAGAGCAACCGTATTGATCTATCAGTGGAGATTTGATACTCGCCAAAGTGTTTTCGCACTTTGTGCTGTACAGTGGAAGCAGAGCTCATATATTAGCGTACAGTGAGCGGGTTTGGAGATGTGTGAAGCGACCCGAAGGGATTATTGATCTCCTCGGACTGCTCCTGCCCAGCATCAATCAAAAAAAAAGCATCAACTCCACACCTCTGAGATCTTCAACGTCAGCCTCTTCCACGGAGGCTATTGATCACAAATTGCACGGCGGATTGATTGGCAGTAACATTAAGAGGCCGTATTGATTTTGGCGCAAGTTTAGGTTCTTCTTGGTCACTGATAAAACAAACTCCTGCATCAGTCCGCACAGGTGCTGTTCGATCGCTGCGTAGGGTTGAATAAAGGGGTCAAGGTTTGGCTTGGGAAGGTTAGATACCATAACAACAGCTGCCTTCAAATTCTAATTAAAACACTGATGGGATTTTTAATAATAAACTAATATTTGAATGCTCATAAGTCTTTCAAAATGCATGAAAAACATTTAATATAAACTTTCATAATAAACATTTAACTGCTGATAAAATTAGGATGAGAATAAAATTACTTGAAATTTAAACATTTCCAAATGTATAAAAAGCTTTTAAAAAGCTTAATAAATTACTGTTTCCAATAAAAGTTTATGCAGTAGTTAAAAGGGGTGCAAATTAGTTTTATGTTTATAAGTAATCCTTTATCTTGATGGTCCACTTGAGTATTATTAGACTGTCTGCTTAATATCTGTTGATACTGCTCCTTCGACAAACATTTAACTGACTATAAAAAATTTGCAAGTACATGTCAACTTACACTAACCCTAACCCCAACCCAACACTCTACTTATAATCTAAGGAAAATTAGTTAGCATGTAGATGCAATGTAATTTAATTCATTAAACAGACCATCAAAATAAAGTGTGACATGTTAATGTATTGATCAAATATCTTCTATGCAGATTGTTACAACCCTATGGTTGTCATGTCTCATTTGCCTCTCTCTTTTGCCTAGAAAACATTTGATTGGCCACTTCAGACTGATTGCTTATTCCTGATTGGCCTACAGTATTTTATTTGCCGTGACATAACTTCCTTGGCGGCCATGTTGTTTTGGTCACTTGCTTTTTTGGATTGCCCCTCAAATGTTATGGCTTATTCTGTAAATAGTTTGTAAATAATGAATATAATATTGGAATAGTAAGGAGTTTGATGAAATTTTATTTGTAAAACCTTTTGACCTCTGTTTTTGTGTCAGGTACTTAGAGTAGTTAATTGTATTTTATTTTATTTTATTTTCCTTTTTGGTACGGTAGAGGTTTAAAATGTTGTTATTTTGCCTTGACAGCTTCCAAATTCAAACCCCAATAAAAATTTGGTTTCATATTTTATTTGTCTTGTCTTTCATGTTGTGCACCTTCCCTAGACGGTGAGTAACATGAACTTGGGGTCTCGTCCGGGATCTGAACCCAGTACCTCTCACACACCAAGCAAGAATCATACCTCTAGACATATTTCTCAGGTTCATATTTCCCACACATTTTACAAAATGTATAAGTTAAAGTTTATGCTTAGATGATGAAAAAAGACAGCAATAAATATGCGCTGTGTCCAGTACACTCTTCAAAAAGTACAAAACTATCCATAAACCAAACCAAATGTCCATAAACCGTTAATGTTATTTTAAAGACAACTGGCCAAAGTAGATATGATTATATTTAAAAGAACAATTCTGCCTAAAGATAGACTGATGTTCACAAAAACATTTTTTTAGATGTAATTAATGTAATTTTGCTCGCAAAATTACATCCCAACAAACAAAACTGTTAGAGAATACATATTTTTCCTTATTCATCTGACCAAGCATCACTGTAGAAAAGCATGAAGCACTTCTAGAGAGCCAAGTAGGCTCCTATACCAGAGGACTATGACTGATAGCAGCCATTATGTGTCGGCAGGCAAAAGGTGGAGAGCAGTCACTCGTTTATTCATGCATTCATTTGTTCGGTCCGCCACCCCAGCAGGGACCAGATGAGCTGTCCATACTGTCAGAGCGATGATCCGCCTGCCATTCATCTGAGACAGACAGCTGACTGACCCGCCCTCTGCCCGTCCCACCGTTGGCATCAACACTGAGAGCTGCTCATTTAGATTAATGAACACGGGTAGAATATATTAGAGTGCAGCAGGTGCCTCCTCTTTATGGTGGACATACTGTAAAATATTTCTGCAGAGTTTGAGCCAGAAACACAGAAGTTTAAGAGATGTGTTTTCCCCCAAATGAGAGTTAGCGACAGGGATGATCCTTTTATATTCATTTGTGACAGGCTGAATGGGGATTTTGGTGTACTTTTTGAACGGTAACTTTGGCAAACTCATTACATTGCTATTGAGGTGGCGGTTCTTTATGTTGAGGGAAATCCCACCAATTGGCAATTATGATAAAATAAAATAAAAAAGCCAATGTTAATGCATATTATGTGAAGGAAATTTTCTAATACATGCTTCTTTTGTCTTTTAAAACATGCAACCCAAATATCTCTGGAAAATGTAGTTTAGCATTAAATGGTCCTTTGAAATTAGTATTCTTAAAAGATTAATAAACATTGTTTTGACAAAATTATCAAGCAGTTTCTCACAATGATATAACAACAATGAGCAACAAATCAGCATATTTGAATGATTTCTAAAAGATCATGTGACATTGAAGACTAAAGTAGGGACTCCTGAAAAAAAAAAAAATAATAAAATTAAATAAAATTAAATTAAATTAAATTAAAAGCCAATGTTAATGCATTTTATGTGGAGGGAATTTGGAACTTTAAGATCTTTTAAAAAAGTATAAAAAATTTTGTAATGATTTGGAATTCAATGAATAAACATGTTTTCTAAAATTAAAAATTAATTGAATAAATGTAATAAATTTGCTCCAAAACACTGAAATATGTAAACTAAAATGTTTCACTAGCGAAGCAAAATTACATGAGATAAATCTTACTTTCATTGAAATACATTTGAATAGAACAGTTTTATGATTTAAACAAAAACAAATATGTGCGGAATGGATTTGTTTACACAGTCAATTATTTTTCATATTTTAACCAATATTTGTTCTTGGTTTAAGCATTCATTTTGTTTCATTTCTTGATAAACAAGGCTGAAATTCTTCATTTTGCATTTCAGGGTACTTTTTTATTGTTAGAATGTTCAGACAAGAGATGCACCAATATGGATTATTTGTCTGATATCGATTCCAGATTTGGAGGCCGATAACCGATAAATTAACCGATAAATATAAATATTTTAAAATGTTATATTTTTATACAGCGAACAACTGATTTTACTTTAAAACACGTCATAAAAGTTTGAATTGATCTTAGAATGGCCTAATCAAAGTAAAAAAAAAAAAACAAAAGTTTAAAAATTGCAAGGTGATTACAGTATATAGACCTATATTTACAACTTCACATAAATCAGCATCCCAGAAATAAAAGATTTCCTTTTCTTCGCATAGCAAATTAATATGCAACTTTGCAACTATTGCATAAAAATAACCGGTTAAATAATAGGTTAAATAACAAATTGAGATTCAATTAACAAACAAGTTAAATAAATATATCTTATAAGTTTGACATAGGACCGATAATGATAACATTAAAAATAGCATTCATTGGCCGATATCGATATCGATACTGTAAGTATATTTCACCTTTTCTATTACATGACAGGTAAAAAAAACATGCATCTTAACACATTTCTTAAATTTAATACCTATAGGGGTAAAGATTTGTTCAAATGCAATTGTGATGGTGATGCGTGACTTGACTTTGGTTAAAATGTGTTTGATTTTGCATAACAAAAACCGTAGCATGGCAACACAACCTGAGCCCTGTTTTGTTGTAACCACTGGGTCGTTTAAAACAGTGTCCGAGAAGGTTGTTACATCCAGGACAAAATAGCATCAAGCCATCTAAAAGCATCAGTGACAATCTTTGGAGAAAAAAAAACAGATTTAAAAAAACCTCAGAAAAATCAATGCACCGCAGCTTGAATGTAATTGCACGCAATAGGAGTATTGGGAAGTCCAGTCACGTTGTGGGCAGGACGGCCATGCTTGGGATATGTCTCTGTATTAGAGTGGTAATATGACAGGGCATTAGTGGGCTGGACCGATGATCCAATAGATTAGGAGATTGAAAGGAAAATTGAATGCGGAGCGGTTCTGAACGGAACGCTCCAATTGATACCGTCACAACAAATCAAAATCAATGGCAGAGGCTTGGTAATGTTGCGGTAATGGCCGGCAGCCATGAAAAATATGAAAGGAAGGAGGAAAAAGGATCACATGCTATGATGGATAAGATGGATGAAGTAAGGGAGAGTTTAAACAGCTTGTTGAAATGCAGCTTTATAAAGTATGTTGACCTGACGTGTACATTTGTGAACAGGACCTACCTAAGCAATGGCTGAAAGATGACCGTGATATTTCTGGCTCCTGGTTTACACAGGAACTTAGTCTCTCCTCCCTCAATCAGGTTATCATCAGCTCCACCTGAATAGACATGGGAAGAAAAGTTACATATCTTCTTAAAAATAACTGTTCAAAAACTTGACTGATAAAAAGGTAAACCTTTATTTTGATGGTCCATGGTTTTGATGAGTATTAGTAGACTGTCTGCTTAATATCTGTTGATACTGCTTCTTCAAAATACATTTAACTGACTATGAGAAACTTTGCAAGTTCATGCAACTTATACTTACCCCAACTCCAACCCTAACAGTCTACTTATAATCTAGTGAGCATAAGTTGACATGTAGATGCAATGTAACTTAAATTCAACAAATGGACCATCAAAATAAAGTGTGACCAAAACAAAGGCTTTCGCACAAGATGCATTTTTGTTTTTTAGCTCAATGGCACAGAAGAATAGAACAGAATGCAGATGTCTGGAGAAGAATTTGAAAAAGTTAAACTTCCATAAAGTTGAAACTGTCTGGAAAACATTAAAGGATGAAATTTAAAAGTGAAATGCATCAAAAAGGTCAATGCAGATGTTTTAGCAACAACAAACAAACAAATAAACAAATTAATAAATAAACAAACAAATAAATAAACAAAACAACAAAGACAAATGAACAAATATTTAGTAACATCAATACAAACTTAAAAAACAAATAACACAGAACATGTTTGTTCAAAAATACAAAAATAAATAAATAAATAAATAAATAAATAAATAAATGACAGAATGAAAAAAGAAAAAAGAAAAAAACAACTTCGAAAAACAAAAAAACAAAACTAAAATAAAGCAAAAATAAATAAATAAATAAAACTGAAGAAAATGAAAAATGGAGAAGCAAATTATGCAAGAAATAAAACACTAAACAAAATGAATTCAAGAAAAATAAATAAATAAATAAATAAAAACTAAACTGCTGATAATAACCACCTTCTTAACAGCAATGGGGCTTTGATTTTTTTAACATGCTTAGAATAGAAAAGATTCTGTTCGCAATAAAACAAAAGCAGGAACAGTTCTAAAAACTATTAGTTTATTTTATTTTATAATAGTTTTCGTATTGTTTTTTTTTAATATTAAGATTTTTATGTTATTTTATGTGTGTATACTTTGTGTATGCAGTGTTCAGCATAAATAATAATAATAATAATAATAATAATATAATTCCTTACATTTAAATAGCACTTTTCTGGACATGCAAAGTACTTTTTACACAATGAGGGGAATCTCCTCATTTACCACCAGTGTGCAGCATCCACCTGAATGACGCCATCATAAATGAGTTCACCCCATTTTGAAAATGAATATTTATATACGTTTCTCAGTGGATACAGGCAACGTATTTTGTTGCATTTAAACAACACAGATATATTTTTTAAATAAATTATTTTAGTCACCAAACATATCTAGAAATTGAAAGATAATACAATTAAATTCAAGCAAAATATTGCAAAGAAAAAAAAACTACAACCTACAAAATTTCAACTACATTTTTCAAATGTTTTGCTTCTCCTGATTTTTCCTTTTTTTATTTATTTGTATTTAATATTTTTCTATAACATATAAATTTGTCTGTACTAGTTTTTGGACCATTATCTTTAGTTATTTTGTTAGATAAGCTCCAGATTTGGCTTCAGTACTGACTAATCTAATGTATATACACAAATATAATATTGTATAGCTTCCTATTAAAAATATTAATTTAAAAGATAAATTTGTGAGGGGTGTACTTATATATGCTAAGCACTGTATATGTGGTATTTTGCCTTATTATCTACATACTTATTTAGTGTTTAATTGTGTTTTCCAGATAATATCTTGTTTAGTGAATTATATGTATTAATACTATGTACATTCAATTGTCTAACCTAAGATGACCTAATAAAGGGGAAAGAATTGTTGATAACAAAACATAAAAGGCTATTACAAAAATAAAACAATTCAAATCGCAACAGCAAAATGAAAATACAACAAAACACACACACACACACACACGCACGCACGCACGCACGCACGCACACACACACAGTACAAACAAAACACAGCTAACTCAATCAATCATCAAAATAGTCATTGTGTCAATTCCCTCCAGACATCACACGTCAGACAGAGACATATACACAAGCGCCCCCTCCCCTCTCTTCCATTTGTCCCTCTGTGTCTGTGCGTAGTCCTGCGCTAACAGGGTTAATAAGAAAATCATGGCTGTGTAACTCTCCCATGATGAGGCAGGGCCCCTAAAAATGAAATGGGCTCCAATCCTTATTAGCTCCACTCATCCACAAGTAATCAATATAATTGACAGCAAGAGAATCAAGTCTGCCATCAATAAGAACATTCCCAGGTGGACAGAAGGTGTGTGTGTGTGTGTGTGTGTGTGGCCTCATGGGTCGGTGAATAGAAGTGGCACTGCGGCAGCCCACTGGCATCTCTCTCGCACTGTGACAATGTTATTCATTAAAATTTCACAGCCCTTTGAGATTGCCACTGGAGAGACTGCTGTAACTATGAACGTAGCACTAAGCCCGTGCACCGCCATCCTGACAAACACACACACACATACATATGCAAGCCTTCGGTGGAGAATCAGTTTAATTGCTTTTATCAGTCAGTTGTTACATGAGATTTCTTGCCCAAGGGACTTGAAATGAGTCCAGGAACACAAATATTCATGCCAGATGATTCCTGTAACACACAAACAGTAGAGCGCGTGTGTGTGTGTGTGTGTGTGTGTGTGATGCATTTGTACAGTACACTTCACTGATATTGGCACCCTTGGTAAATATGAATAAATATGGCTGACAAAAATGGTTTTATTGTTGAACCTTATGATCCTTAAATTGCACTGTATATACAGAAAGAAAAATAGGAATTTTCAGTTGTTTTAGGATAAGTGTAGAGGTTTTTTCCTCCTAAAATTCTTTGAAACAATTTGTGGGGATGAATTGTAGTTTTAGAGACCTTTTGACCTCAGGACCCAACTATTTAGGTTCCCCAGCTGTGATTCCTGGAGATTTTTAGGACACCATCTGTGTGTTTGGACAAGATAGACACATGTCCTCTTCCAGACTTCATTACAATTCCAGTGGAGTGAGATTTATGAATTACTGCACTAATGTCATTTTCTGTGTTATTTATTTATAAATTTGTTTTATTTATTTAATTATTTCTTTATTAATTCATTTTCTTTTTATTTCTTTATTTCATTTATGTAATTTCTTTATTATTTCATTTATTTATTAATTTATGTATTTTCTTTTCATTACTTTATTTTATTTTATTTTTTCATTTTTTATTTTTTATTTTATTTGTTTTTTTTTTCATTTATTTATTTATTTAATATTATTTATTTATTTATTTATTTATTCATTCAGATATTTATTCATTTACTATTATTTATTTATTTATTCATTTATTTATTTGTGTGTTTGTTTATTCATTTAACCCTTTTTTAATTTCATTTATTTAATTATTTTATTCATTCTTTTTTTCATGTATTCTCTTATTTATTTTCTTTATTATTTTCTTTATTTTTTATTCATTAATTTATTTATCATTATATATTTTTATTTATTATTTTAAAATTTTATAAAGTATAATGATAAATTAAATAATTATAAAGTATTTATTTGTTTGTTTGTTGTTTGTATTCTTTCATTATTTTATTTATTTTCTTTTTTATATTCTTTTTTTATTCTTTTATTTATTTATTTACTTATTAATTGAATTATTAATTTTTTTTATTTTCTTATAGCCACTTCCTATGTTGCAGAGAAAAAAAAATGTTTTCCCCTTTATATTTATTTAACTCTATTTATTATATTTAAACAAGTTAAATATCAATTGGAATTACAAAAAAATATTTAACTCGCATGCATATGGTTGGCAATAATTATAGCACACATTTATTTAGCAAAGACATTTGTTTTCTTTAATAAAACTCTGCTGTGTTTCCAATTGTCTGTTGTCAGTTAAAGCAAGAATTATTTTTTGTAAATATCTTTAGCAAAATATCAATATTATAAACAATGAAATACAATTTGCACATCCTTTTCTGCTTATACTTACCATGGGTAACCAAGGGCACAGTATTGCTGTGGAATTACAAGTGAAGCAAAAGAAAGTGATTTGTGTTCAACATTGTAATCTCCACCGGTACGGGTTTTATCGCAAGTCTGGAATCAGAGTCATCCCGTGTTCATTGTTTTGAGAGGCAGGACGTGCTTCAAATGAGAAATGTGTTCACCTTTCACTGCACTAAAAACCCAGCGGTGCACCTGTCCAGCATTCAAACACACCTCTCGCTGCCTCTCCAGTCATTTCCACCTTCCTTCGATCCTTCACAGAGGACAATCTCTCTTATTTCCAAGCCCTTTTCTCATTAAAACCAAAAGATGATTCTTTATTCCCTCTAAAAGCTTTCTGGTTGGAGCTCGGCTTGTTTTTCAAAGTTGCTTTGAAAGGAAATTCATCTTCGTCGTCCTTAGTTTCCTGTTTCTCGACGTTCTTTCCATCTATCCAATCTCTCTCCTGCTAATTCAATTAAGACTCAATTACAACAGCAAAACAAGAAAACACAGCTGCCACCACACACACATGTTCGGTCAGACCTAGACAAGCGACAAAGAAGAGTGAAAAACAAGGTGAGGTAAAAAGGAAAGAGAAAAAAAGTTTGCCTGATAAAAATCCATAAATTGCCAAGTATTAATGGAAGGAAACAGGTAATGAACATCTGAAAATGGTGATGTGATTTGTCAACGATTGAGAGAATAAATTAGTAAAAATATTGGATATAAATCATAAACAAATAGTTTTGTTTTGCAGTGAATATATCATTATCTTAGCATTCAAGAATAACTTATAATTATAGCTGTAAAAAAAGAAAATCTACTGGTATTAACACAATAATGATTGGGTGGTAATGAGGATTATTGTTTAGTTTTTTTTTTATTAATACTGCTGTTGTTGTTGTTGTTGTTGTTTATGTTATTGTTATTAAGGCTGCGTGATGTTGGAAAATTTGAACATTCTG